TGGGCTGGCATGTGGTGCTGGGGAATTGAACCGTAGTCCCTGTGCTTTGCTTAGATTAGCTTGTTCTAAGTAGGTGCTTTAGACCACTGAGCCATCTCACCAGCCCCCCCCCTTTTTTTTTGATGGTATCAGGGATCAAACTCAGGACCTTGCTCTTGCCAGGCAAGTACTCATTCCACTGAGCTAGCTCTCCAGCCTCAATATTTACATTTTTTAAATACATCTTGGCTATACAGTCCAGGCTGTAGTTGAACTCATGGCAGTGTTCCTCCTGCCTCGGCCTCCCAAGTGTTGAGATTATAGGAATGTGTTCTCTCTCTTTTTTTTTTTTTTTTTTCTCCGAATGCCTTCAAGGCATGACTGGCTGGCTTGAGTTGTGGGGATTGAACCACAGCAACCTGAGTCTGACGGCTTTGTTGAAGCAACCACTGAAAGAACTGAGCTAAGGGGCAGGCCCCCAATGCATTCTCCTTTTGAGTCTCACTGAATTACTGAGTCACACAAACTAGGGTGGCCTTGTGATCCTCCTGCCTCAGCTTCCCCAAGGTGCTGGAATTATGGGTGTGCACCACCACACCCGGCTAGTAGCTAAACTCTAAACCATTTTCAGTTTGTCTATGTCCAGTTTTAGCTGGGTGATCTAGGGCCTTATTCCAGGCTGACCTCTCACCCCTGCGTGGGGATTTCGGGAGACTCGCGGCATTTGTACTGGCAAGGCCCTTCCAGAATGCACTTTTCTGGGGTGACAGAGGGATCTATGTACCCAAGGGACCAGCGCTATAGTGGCAGCATCACTTGCTGCCTTTTGTTGTTGGTGGTGTTCCACGAGTCAAACTCAGGTCCTCGTGCTTACCAGGCAGGCTCTACGCCCCTGAGCTACATCCCCAGCCCTTGCTTGCCATCTTCTTGGAGCTGTTACCTAAATTTTTAGATGGGGGTGGGTCTGCCTCAGTTTCCCCAATGGCTGAAAGCACATTATGCAGGGTGGCATGGATGTGGTAGAGATAGGACCGCTCTCCAATGGTTAGCGTGCAGGGGTGCGTAGGCTGCCGTGTGACCCCTTCCGCCTCCTGTCCTGGGTGTGAGAAGCCCAGTTCATGGACATCCCTGGCCGCTCACGCCTTGCAGTCATCTTTCAAGACTGACGACAGCTCAGCACAGTAGTGCACACCTATAATCCCAGTACTTTGGAGGCTGAGGCAGGAAGATTGTTGCAAGTTCAAGGCCAGCCTGGGCTACACAGTAAGACCCTGTCTAAAGCCCACCCCCCCCCCAAAAAAAAAAAAACCCAAAAACTGGCTACCTGCTGAGCTGCCTGGTGGCTCCTCTTGGCAAGCAGGCCACCCCATCTGGTGCCTGCCAGCCCCAGGTGCAGGCCTGGAGCCCAGAGGCTGCCTCTCTTTCATTTGGAAGCGGAGGGTGGGAAGGATGACTGTGTGGGGCCATGGAGAGACCAGGCTGTGAGGAGAGCCGGGTTGCTTCCTGGTACCCGTGCCTGTGCACCAAGTTGTTGTAACTTCTGGGTGGTTTTAAGACAAATTCAGGGGCGAAGGATATGGCTGAGTGGCAGGGCGCTTGCCTGCCACACACAAGGCCCTGGGTTGTTCCTATCACTAGGGAAAAAAAACAGGTACAGTGGTGCAGGCCTATAATTTCAGCACTCTGGGAGGCTGAGGCAGGAAGATCACAAATTTGAGTCCAACATGGGTAATTTAGTGATTTAGTGAGACCCTGTCTCCCTGCTGGACAAGCACACTGCTTGTGCCTGTTCAGGGCTGGGCTTTTTTAAAAAATGTATTTAGTACAGGGTGTACAGGGTCTCACCACACAGATTGGACTTGTAGTGATCCTTCCTGTTTTTTAGCCTCCCAAGTGCTGGGATTATAGGCGTGCACCACCATGCCCAGTCTCATTCGCCATCTCAAGTGCTCCCCAAGGGCATGGTCAGCACAGCAGGCTGGGCATAAAACCTCAGGCCCCTGCAGCTGCCTAAGCAGGTGTATTAATCCGTTAAACTATCTGGCGGGCCAGGGCTGGGCTTTTTTTTTTTTTTTTTTTTGGCGGAACCGGGGATTGAACTCATGCCCTTGCGCTTGCCAGGGCTGGGCTTTTAGTGTACTCTTGCCCATCTGAGTTGGGAGGTGGCTTTCTCTGAGAAATCAACAAATCTCAGGCTACGAGGGGGGTTCTGTGGCCTGCCCTCTGCAGCCTGTGTGTGGCCCTCTTGAGAGCCCCATTTGCCATGGAGGTCACCCCTGGTTCTGGTGAAGACTGCACCAGCTTCTGGTAGAGGCTGTCCCTGCTCCAGGGTCCTGGTCTAGGGCTCTGTGTGCACCAGTGTATGCAGTGCTAGGGCCAAAGCCTGGGGCTTACCCATGCACAGGCAAGGACTTTACCACTGAGCTACCCCCAGTAGGGAGTCTAGGTGTTTTTTTTTTTTTTGCGGAACGAGGGATTGAACTCACGACCTTGTGCTTGCCAGGAAAGCACTTATTCTACTGACACATCTCCCTGGCCTCCTAGGGAGTCTAGTTTTTAAGAAGTCCCTCAGTGACTCTAGGAAGCACTATGCAAAGTAAGAGAAGGTCACCTGTGATTGAAAACACAGAGCCCAGATTACCATGTGGTATAGCTCTGGGCCACACCCGGTCCCCGTGTTGTGGAGGTAGGAGAATGGGGTGGAGACAGCATGGAGCATGTCTGACTGCTGCTTCTCTTGGAAGGAGGAAAAGTGGAGGAGGAGGTGCTATCAAGACAAGTCCCCAAACTGCTGACCTTGGTGGCCAACACCACTCTTGACCTGGTAGTGTCATTTGGTGTCTGTCGTGGCTTCCCCTGTAGGAGGATGGAGGACACCACTTTGTCCCCAGAACAGGTGAGATGCTTTCTGTGATACCCTGGGGTGGGTGAGGGTTGGGCAGGGGTGAAGGATGTGCAGCCAGCCTATGCCTGTGTGGCTTCGAGGCTGCAAGGCTGTGCGGTTGCCATGGCAGCAGAAGGCTTTCACCAACTCAGGCATCTATCTGTGCAGATATGTACAGGAAGTGGAGTGAAGAAGGAACAGGCTGGTGACAAGCATTTTGTAGATACAATCTCTGAAGAAGGTAGTGGGAGTGATTGTGGGTGTTCTCCAGGGGTGGATATTAGGGAGAGGAGCCCAAGCCTGTCAGTGCCAGGGAGGTGAGGGTTTCCTGCATGTGTCCCCTTGCCATCTCTTATTAATTCCTTTGACTTGATTTGAGCTTTCCTGTAACAGAGCTGAGGTCCAGCCCATTTCGTTGCTTTCACATACATACCGAAGACCTAGAGCATTTGGACTCAGCAGGGAGAGACTTCCCATATTTGGCTGGCTGCATATAGCAGAGCAATGGGAAAGATGTAGATGTCTCCCAAGAAGTACCAAGATGAGTTGTTTTTTTTTTTTTTTTTTTTCTCCTATTTTTAGGGAAGGGTCTACAGGGTGTTCAGGGTCTTATTACTAGATCGGACTTGTAGTGATCTGCCTGTTGACAACCTCCCAAGAGCTGTCTCAGCATACCCTGGGAGCAGGGCTGGCACTGGCCGGCCCAGGGATCAAGCCCCTGGCCCCTGTGCCTGCTTGTAGGCACTTTAATCCGCTGAGCTATTTGGCAGGCCCACCAAGATGAGTTTTTAACCGGAAAGGATAAAAAATGGAGGGAATTTGTATGATTTCTGTAAAATTTAAGTCTTACTGATTATGAGATTTTGTTTTATTTATTTTTGGCAGAACCAGGGATTGAACTCAGGCCCTTGCACTTGCCAGGGAAGTGCTTATTCCACTGAGCCATCTCCCTGACCCGTGGTTATGAGATTTTAAAATGGTATCAGTCATATTGGGCATGATGGCCTGTGCCTGAGACAGGACAGTTGCTTGAGCCTAGAGTTCAGGGCCAGCGTGGGATCATAGCAAGACCCTTCTCAAAATTAAAAAAAAAAATAAAGACATCACTGGGGAGATAGCTCAGTGGCACAGTGTGTCTCTGGCAAGCTCAAGGTCCTGAGTTTGATTTCCAGTAAAAAAAATATTTTTAAAAATAAAGGGGCAGGGCTGGAGAGATGGCTCAGAGACATAAGCACCCACCTAGCAAGTGCAAGGACCTGAGTTTGATCCCTGGCTTCACATGCTGATCAGTCTCAGCCCGCGATGCGGGCGCCCACCATGTGGCCCTGGAACTGGGCCTGGTGATGCACACCTGTAATGCCAGCACTCTGGAGGTTGAGCCAGGAGGATCATTGCCAGTTTGAGACCATGGTGGGCTACAAAGTGAGCTCAAGGTCAGCCTGAGATGCATAGTGAGACACTTGTCTCAAAAAAAGTATGTAAATAAATAAATAAATAGATAAATAAAAATAAAGACATCATTTATAGTTGGGTGTTGTGGTAGATGCCAGTAATCCTAGTATTCTGGGAGGCTGAGGCAGAAAGATTGCCCCAGCATGGGCAATTTAGCAATTTAATGAGACCCTGTTTCAAAAATGCACAAAAGGCTGGAAATGGGCATGGTGTGCATGCCTGTAATCCTAGCACTGGGGATGCTCAGGCCCAGCCTGGGCTATATAATGAGTTCAGAGTTAGCCTGAGGGGCCAGGGAGATGGCTCAGTGGAATAAGCACTTCCCTGGCAAGCGCAAGGGTCTGAGTTCAATCCCCTGTTCAGAAAACAAAAAACAAAAAACAAAGCCTGAACTACATGGCAAGGCTCTGTCTCAAAAACCAAGCAAAAAAAAAAGAAAAAAAGAAAGGAAAAGAAAACCAAGCAAACTCCTTTAAAAAGGGTGGAAGTGGGGCCGGGGAGATGGCTCAATAAAATAAGCACTTCCCTGGCAAGCGCAAGAGGCTGAGTTCAATCCCCAGTTCCACAAAAATAAATAAAAAGGGTGGAAGGGCAGGCGAGATAGCTCAGCGGACTAAAGTGCCTGCTTAGGCAAGTGCAGGGACTGCATCATGGTTCAATCTCAGTTCAATCCCCTGCACTACATGCTGTGCCACTGGGGGCGGGGCTAAGCCGGCCAGAGTCTGAGTATAGTGGCGTATGCCTGTAATGCCAGCACTGGGGAGGCTGAAAACAGGACGATCCCTTTAAGTTGGAGCTGTGTAATGAGACCCTGTAACACCCAAATACATTAAAAAAAAAAAAAAGGGCTGGAGATGGAGCTCATCATCAAGGCCCTGGGTTTAAGGCCTGAACTCCAAAAAAACGAAACAAAACAAGAACAGTGAAAATGTGATTCATGAGCAGGATCCATTTGTCCCTTTGAGGTCAGGGGTTGATTTGCTTCCCACAGCGGCTTTTCTCCATCCAGTGGTTGCGAGGGCCCTGCTGCTGGCTCCTGTGTCATGCATTCTGAGCGCTCCATGTGCTGGGGCTCCCTTAGCTGTCTCTCTGCCTGTCGGGAGGTCCAGACCATCAGAGCCCTCCACAGAATAAGACTGAGAAGTATGAAGGTCCAGAGTTCAATCACCAGTACAATCACTTAAGAAAAAAAAAAAAAGGCTTGATAAAAGCACCTGCTTCACCACTGATGGGGATCCCTTGGAAACCTGTGTTACCCCTCTTGTCAGGAGATGAGCAAGGTGGACACTGAGTCCCCAGACACCGAGGCCGCAGACACCGCAGCTGAAGTGGCAGGCGGCGCTCACCTGCTGGGCTTCTCTGACGAGATCCTGCTGCACATCCTGAGCCATGTGCCCAGTACAGACCTGGTCGTGAATGTGCGGCATGTGTGCCGGAAGCTTGCAGCCCTGAGCCTGGACAAGAGCCTGGTGCACAGTGTGCTGCTACAGAAGGACTATCAGGTGTGGTGGCGGGGGCAGGCACTGGGACCAAGAAGCGGGAAGGGGCCATTGTTGACTGAGCAGTCCCCAGGCTGCAGAGTGCAAGAAGGGCGGAAGATGTGGGTGCAAGCCAGGAGGAAGAGGGTAAGGGACTGTGTGGACGTGGTGTTGGGATGGATCCCTGCTTTGGGCATAGGAGTAGGTGGACACTGGGAGAGGACTTGCTGGGTTCCTGGACAGATAACTAATTCTTTGTGAAGTTGAACCCATAGTTTGATGGTGCAGTACTAGGTACCTTTTTTTCTTTTGATGCGCTATTAGGGATTGAACATAGGGTCTTCCTGCTGAGCTGCAGACCCCCAGCCTTTTTATTTTTATTTTTTTAAATTTTGAGACAAGATCTTACAAAGTTGCCCAGGCTGGGCTAGAACTTATGACCCTCCTGCCTCAGCTTCCAAGAGTATCGGTATTGCAGGTGTGTACTGCCCTGCTTGATTTACATTGTTCCTTTCTGTGGCCAAGTACTTTTCTGTGCTGTAGACTGGCCACCATTAGTGTGCGCATGCCTCTGTTCAGTGATACTGGGGCAGCTTTTGTCTTTTGTTATTATTTTTTTGGTGGAACTGGGGATTGAACTCAGGCCCTTGCACTTGCCAGGGAAGCCGTATTCTACAGTGCCATCTCCCCGGCAGCTTTTGTCTTTTGGCTCTTGTGGTCAGTGCTCTTGGAGTCCCTGTCTCCAGTTCCCTAGGCACATCCTAGGAGCATAGGGGCTTGCTCATCCTGGGTAGCTTCTGGCAGACTTCTTTTCTCCCATGGCTGTGTCACTTTGCATCCCAGGAGCTGAGGTTTCCCACCTCCTGATGTGCAGTGTCCCTATGGAACCTGGGAGCCTTCAGCCCCACGCCCCTCTTCTGCTCATCCCTGTCTTGCAGGCCAGTGAGGACAAGGTGAAGCAGCTGGTGAGGGTGATCGGCCGGGAGATCCAGCAGCTGAGCATGGCCGGCTGCTACTGGCTGTCGGGTGCTACCATCGAGCACGTGGCCCGCTGCCGTGGGCTGGTAAAGGTGAACCTATCCGGCTGCCACCTGACCTCCTTGCGCCTCTCCAAGGTGCTTTCAGCCCTGCAGCAGCTGCGCTCGCTGGCCATCGATGTGAGCCCTGGTTTTGATGCCAGCCAGCTGAGCAGTGAGTGCCGAGCCACGCTGAGCCGCGTGCGGGAGCTCAAGCAGACACTTTTCACACCCTCCTATGGCGTGGTGCCCTGTTGCGCCAGCTTGCAGAAGCTGCTGCTATACTTCGAGATCCTGGACCGCACGCGGGAGGGCGCTGTGCTCTCAGGCCAGCTCATGGTGGGCCAGAGCAATGTGCCTCACTACCAGAACCTGCGTGTCTTCTATGCACGCTTGGCACCTGGCTACATCAACCAGGAGGTAGTGCGGCTGTACCTGGCAGTGCTCAGTGACCGCACACCCGAGAACCTGCACGCCTTCCTCATCTCAGTCCCGGGCAGCTTTGCTGAGAGTGGGGCCACCAAGAACCTCCTGGAGTCCATGGCTCGCAACGTGGCCCTGGATGCTCTGCAGCTGCCCAAGTCCTGGCTGAACGGCTCATCTTTGCTTCAGCACATGAAGTTCAACAATCCGTTCTACTTCAGCTTTAGCCGCTGCACGCTGTCTGGTGGCCACCTGATCCAGCGTGTGATCAATGGTGGGAAGGACCTGAGGAGCCTGGCTAGCCTGAACCTCAGTGGCTGCGTGCACTGCCTGTCGCCAGACTCCCTGCTCCGCAAGGCTGAGGACGACATTGACAGCAGCATCCTGGAGACTCTGGTGGCCTCCTGCTGCAACCTGCGTCATCTCAACCTCTCAGCAGCACACCACCACAGCTCTGAGGGCCTGGGCAGGCACCTGTGCCACCTCCTGGCTCGTCTCCGCCACCTGCGCTCACTGTCCCTGCCTGTCTGCTCTGTGGCTGACTCTGCACCTCTAGCGGACCGTGTGCCGGCCCAGCCTGCCATGCACGCAGTGCCACGTGGCTTTGGGAAGAAGGTACGCATAGGTGTGCAGACCTGCCCCGGCCCCTTCGCAGGCCACCAGCCCTCCTCTGCATTTTGGTCCCTGCTGAAGAACCTGCCCTTCCTGGAGCACCTTGAGCTGATTGGCTCCAATTTCTCCTCGGCCATGCCACGCAACGAGCCTGCCATCCGCAACTCCCTCCCTCCCTGCAGCCGGGCACAGAATGTTGGGGACTCCGAAGTGGCCGCTGTCAGCCAGCTGGCCTTCTTGCGGCACCTGACGCTGGCCCAACTGCCTGGCATCCTGACTGGCTCAGGGCTGGTGAGCATCGGCCTGCAGTGCCAGCAGCTGCAGTCTCTGTCATTGGCCAACCTGGGCATGATGGGGAAGGTGGTCTACATGCCTGCCCTCTCTGACATGCTAAAGCACTGCAGGCGGCTGAGGGACCTCAGGTGAGGCTTTGGAGGCTGGTGGGGTTGTAGGGTGGGGCACAGGGAGACACAGGCCTGTCCTGGGTGTGCACAGCAAGGGCTCAGGGAGGCCTGCGGAGCTCAGCATAACGGGGCTAGGGTGCTGGGAGATCCTGGGGCTTAGCCTCACGATCGATCCTTGTTTCTCCATGAGTGATTGTTCTGCTTGGTGCTGTGTACACTCTGATCTTTCCAGCTGCCCTGTGAGGGTTTAATTGTGCGTGTGGGGGGGGGGGGGGGGTTACTAAGGATTAAACTCTTTACACGGAGCTACATGCCCAGCCCTTTTTAAGCTTTTCCAAAATTTTACCAGGTGTGGTGGCCCACACCTCCAGCACTCAGAAGGCTGAGTCAGGAGGATTGGTGTGAGTTCAATGCCAGTTTGGGCTGCATGAACAAGTTCAGTGCCAGCCTGAACTGCATAGTGAGACCCTGCCTCAAAAAAAAGAGAGAAAATTTGAGAAGGGTCTCACTAAGTCACTGAATTGCCCAGGCTGGGCCCACGTTTGCCATCTTGCTGCTTCAGCCTCCCAGAGTGCCGAGACTATAGGGGCATGGACCACCGTGCCAAGCTCAGCCCAGCCCAGGGTGTCCTGATGCAATTTGGGATTCTTGGTGGGCATGTAGGACTTAGCCAGGGGCTGCAGAGCTGACACTCCTGGATGGTTTGCAGTGTGTGCAGGGGCCCTAGAGCTTGGACATACACCAAAGCCTGTTGGTTCAGGCTGGCCAGGGCACTGCAAGGAGGTGGGGGGCAGGGATAGGAGGCGGGAGGGGCAGGCAGGTGAGTTGCTGAAGTCTTCTGCAGAGGTCTGCTGTCATCCCACGTGCAGTGTGTGTGGCACAGGGGGTGGCTCAGAAGGGGGACACAAGCTGGGCGTGGTGGCATACACCACTAATCTCAGGCCTCTGGGAGGCTGAGGCAGGAAGATGGCAAGTTTGAGCCCAGCCTGGGCAACTTAGTGACTTTGTGAGACCCTGTTTCAAAATTCCTAAAGGACTGGGTATATAGGCCAATCCCTAGTATCACACACATAAAACAAGGTTGGATGGACACAGACTCCGGGGAGCAGTGGCCTGGGGTTGGTGGCAGAACCATCCAGGAGAGTGGAAGGAACTGGGAGCCACAGCCAGCTGTTGTCACTGGGCCCCTGGTGTTTCCAGAACCAGGTGTGAGATAGACCCATGCTGAATTGTGCTCGGAAGGAAGGCGGTTCCCATGGTATCCCCACATTTAAAGAATGAAAATTGGTTGAGAAAATTTGGCAGATCTGATCTTGGATCTGATCACGCAACATGCAGTGCAGGCTGCAAAGCTATTCCCCATGCCCAGCTGCACCCTGCAGGCTGGGGCAGGAAGGAGCAGCCCCTTCCTGTGTGCTTAGTTGGGGTTGGGGTTGGGGTACAAGCAGCCCTGGGCCCACAAAGTCCTGTGCTGCCTGGGGCTGTGGGGATATCTTCACTTACTTTGTCTTACTTTGTGCCTTTCCTGCAAGCCAGACACCGAGCCATTGTCCCTAACAATCCCTGCAGGATGGTGGCTTCTGCAGTCCCATTTCATGGCTGAGGTTTGATGCTCAGAGCAGAGCCGAGGTCTCACTGTCTGTCACCACCAGCGTGACCGTGGTCCCCAACTCCTGTGCACAGAGGGGAGATGCCCTGTGCTCCCTCAGCCTCTGTTGTTCCTCCAGTGTCAGCCTGGCCGAAAGTGAGGTGGAGCAAGCCAGGCACGGGTGCTCCCAATGGGACCTTGCGCCTTCCAGGCCGGGCTGTGCACCCTGCTCCTTGCCCTCCTGGTCACTGTGCCAAGCCCTCTGGATTGCTGCTGGTGCGGAGCAACACAGCAGGGTCAGCCGGCTTCCAAGTGGTCCACTTGGCCTGCGCCTTTTTCCACCCCCGGGGGCTGCAGCCAGAGCCCTGAGCAGATGTTGGCAGGCTCCAGGCGGTTCCTCCTGTACCCTGGGCCTGTGTATCCTTGCAGTTTCAGTGCCTGGCCACTGGTTTCCAAGTCCAGTCCAAAGTTAACGTGTTTTAGGGTCCTGTGTTGCATAGAGGGGGATAAGACACTGAGTACGGAATGTTCCTCTGCAGCAAGCCGGTGACTTCTCGGGGCGTAGATGCCTCCTTCCTCATTATGTCTGTCCATGTAGCCACCAGGTACTAGGTGCCTGTGACTTATTTATTTATTTGGCAGTAACGGGGGTCAAACACAGGGTTTTCAAACTGAGCTCTATCTATCCCCAGCTCTTCTTTTAAGTCACTAAATAGCACACCCTGGGCTTGAACTTCGCATCCCCCTACCTCAGCTTCCCAGAATGCTGACATGACAGGTGTGCATGCCTGGCTGCTCTGTGTCCTCCCCGCTTCTTCTGTGTGGTGCCCCCCAACCCCTCATCTTGCCTTACCTGGGCCTGTGTGCTGGCCCTTCCCGCATGAGTGGTGGAGATTGTGTGGTCAGGGCACACTAGGGGGAGTCCTGTTTACACGGCTCTGGGTCTGCACAGCCCAGGGTGGCTCCTGCTCAGTCAGAGGCTCCTGCGCTCTAGGAGCCTGGGGAGTGTGAGTGAGTGTGTGTCAGCTGAGTTCTTTCCAGATCTCCATTCGCTGTCAGTTTTATGCTTTCCGCTGACCCATTAGCTTGTATGCTTTTCCTGGCTGGACAGTGGCCAGGATGTCTGGTGGTTATCAGGGAGTGCTGGGTAAACACAGAAACCAAGGAAAGTAAAACTGCATTCACAGGGCTCAGAGGTGGGTCCCCAAAAGCTCAGGGGTGTGTGGCAGCAGCTGTAGAATGGGAACTGGTTAGGACGAGGGTGAAAAAGCAGCACAGGACATGGGGCTGGCACTGTCACATGGAGGGGCGGCCCTCAGGCAGCAGCAGTGGCTGATGGGGTCGGATGTGGGCCTAGGAACTCTGCCCAGGGACAGCTGCCAGTTGCTTGTGACGTGTCAGGGTGTGACTCGGAGCTGCAGCAACCTTCATGGAGACACTGGCAAAGAGACAGTGGCCCCAAGGGGGCCCCACAGCTGGCCCACAGGGGAGCTGGACACCGAGTGGCAGTGTGGCCACGTTTGGTGGTCAGAGGGCCTCTGGGGTTTGGAGGCCCCGTGGTTTCTGTGGTCAGGCTAGGGCAAACCTGACTGTGGCCCGACAGCATCGCTATATATAAACACCAGTTTCACCTAGAGCCACGGAGCCACACGTGCCCTGAGCTAGATGCCATCTGTGTGGGACATGTGGCCCCTGCATCCTGCAGCAGTAAGCCTGCTGTCCGAGGGCAGGAGCCACACAGAGGGCCGTGGGGACTCCTGGGCCTGTCTCCCAAAGGCGGGACCCTGGCTGACGTCCCTGCCCCTGCCTCCTGTCCCCAGTGTCACAAACCTGTTGGCCAGCCTGGTCTCCTGATGGGCAAGCTGCTGCAGGAACAGGTTGTTCTGGCTGCAGACTTGGCTTGGGGCACACCTCTGGGCAGAAAAGGGCACCTTCTTTCCCACGATGGACCAAGCCCCACCTGTGCCAGAGATGGGAGAGCCTTACCCCAGCCACCTGACATCAGAGCCAGGGCAGCACCAGGGTGGCAGTGAGCTGCGGGAGCCAGGCCTGGCACTGCCCCAGGAGCGTACGGGGGCCTGGGCACTGCCTGCTGCCCTGCCAGGTCCAAGCACCCAAGTTACCCTGGAAGCAAGCTCTGGCGCTAGATCCTGGCTGGGAAGGGCCAGGGCTAGGGACCCTCATGGTGCCTGTCAGGTCGGGTAGATTCCTTTTCCTGTAGACACTTTTCCTGGCTGTGCTGGCAGCAGCCCTGCTGTGGCAAGGCAGGCTGATGGCAGGAGAGGGAGGGACAGGATATTCCCACCAGCCTGCTGTCTGGACAGCCCCAGTCTCCCTTCACCAAGGGAGACTGGGGCTGTCCTCGAGTCTGGAAGGGTTTAAAAGTATTATATGCACCGGGCTTTGTGACTGCAGTTGGCTTTGGAGGTCTGGGGCCATTAGTGCAAACCTACGTCGCCACCTAGTGACGGAGGCCACGGGTGCCGCCTGGCCCTTTCTGCCATATGTGGCAGGGACTTCTGCCGGCAGCTGCTCTGCTACCAAGGCTGTGTGCGTCCTTCTGCCTGTCTGGGCCTGCAGAGCC